AGCTACATAAGTCAGTTTGTATCCTTTTTTTTTGCAGGGCACATTATGAATATAGGAATTCTGAAAAAGGAAATCCTTCTTACCAGTCCAAAACCACCTGTGAGGAACTCATTGAACTAATGGCTCAAAAGGTCCACGTGCTCATTGTTGACGAAGTAAATTCTGGTTATTTCAGCTTGTCAGTTGACTCTACAACAGATCTATCACAGTTAAGATCAGTTAAGTGTTGTACTTCGATACTTAAAAGATGGGCAGCCTACTGAACGCTTTTTACCCTTTTTGAAATTAAAAAGCCATACTGGTGAGGAAATGGCAAACCAGGTGTTGCAGTACTTACATGAAGTTTGCAAGCTAAATTTTTCAAAATGTAGGGGGTCAGTTCTACGACAATGCTGCTAACATGTCTGGGCATTATAAGGGGATGCAGTAAAAAATTTTAGAAGAACATAAGTTTGCCATATATGTGCCCTGAGCAGCCCATTCACTAAATCTGGTTGGCCGAAGTGCTGTTGACTGCTGTCAAGTGGCAGTTAATTTCTTCTCTACAGTGCAATTGCTATATACATTGTTTTCAGCCTCAACCAGCCAGTGGAAAATTGTTAAGGTTTGTCTTGGAAAAGAAAGTGTGTTAAAATCCCTCTCTGATACCAGATGGGAGGCACATGCTATAGCAACAGCAGCAATTCTGAAGACTTTTTTAAGATTTTGGAAGCTTTAGAATGTCTAGTGGAAGACCAGTCACAAAAGGGAGACACTAGAAGAGAAGCAGCCAATATTGCAAATAAGATGCAAGAGCTATGTTTTTATATTGAGCCTTTGGGATGAGATTTTGTGAACTTAAAAACATCTGCAGATCTGTATGGGTTATTAGCTGACCAACTGCACATTCAAGAGATGACTTTGAAAAATTTGAAGCAATTGCAAAGGAAATACTACCAGATGTTGATTACAATGCAGCTCAAACTCGCAAACGTATCAGAAAGAAGGTACCCAATGACGGAGATGCACCACAATGCCAGAGATAAATTTTGTATCAATACTTTTTACACAATTGTTGACAAACTAGAAACTCAGATGAGGAGAGGAGAGGTGTACAGAGAAACAGCGGACATATTTTCTTGTCTAAGTGATGTGCCAAATAATGTCACTTCATCATCTTCTGAAACGGAAAGGTACTCTCAGTGCAGATTAGTTTTAAGGACTTGATCAAAGACTTTGCAATTAAAAAAGTAAGAGAAAACTTTTCAAAGTATAAATAAAGTTATAAGTAGGCAACAATAAGCATTATTTTGCATCTTTTGATCCATGTATGTTGAAATGCTATGTATCTTCAAGGAGCAATGGATTAAAAGATGTTTTGTTCATACAAATAATGATAATTCTTCATTAGAATTTCTTTCTTTCAAAAATTGACCACCAACATCGATTCCTGTAGAAAGAATTGTTCTCAATATATTTTTGTATTTTTCCCTTATAGCAGTTTTTTAAAAAATGAATAAAAAAAGTGTTGAAAATTTGCATCTTTTTCCTATGCCCTAGTTATAAGTAAATAAAATTAAAAAACAGGTTATATTTAATATAGTTGTGGGGTCTGGCCTGGGAGAAAACTGAATTTTTAATTTATTATTTCACATTCAGCACTCATAGAGTCTTAATGTCTTGTCAGTTAGACAATGGAAGGGTCGAGGAAGAATCATTGCTGGGCTGTGCTTCAGGCATCAGTTGGCCTTAATCCGGCTCTGCTCTCCATTCACAGAACTTTTTGGATGACTGGAGGTATTTAGGAAGACATTCTTTCTTCAAAAGCCCATCCAGCAATAAATATTTTAACATGCTTAATGTAAAAGATATTTTAGTAAGTATTCTTTACTTAAAGTAGCAATCTTATTCGTATTAAGTCTTGCTTAATTAAGTTGACCTCAAAAATATTATCAACTCTGATGAAATAATAAATACCTCGAGAGCTACGAGACTGTTTAGGATTGTCTGCAACACAAGAGTGACAGGCATGCAAAGGACAAGTCAAGCCACGTCCTTCGATTTTAGATGTTAATGGGTACTTCAACAAACATCTCTCATGGTAAAATCTTCCACAAGTACTTATCAAACATTTCCGAACATTGCCTTCAGTTTCTTTGCATACAAAACATATATGTTTTCCTATTGAAGAAATACATAAATTTTTATTGTTCATCATCACAAAACTTTCCATGGATTACAGAGAACTATAGAGCTAGAATAATAGAAAGGAAAATGAGCATTATGTATACAATATTTTACATAAGTGGAATAACAGAAAAGATGAAGAACTAGAAACATCACAAAAGACTGATGTAGAAGAACAGAGTTAAATAAGGAACAGTGATAACAAAAAATGCATGAAACGAGAAAAAGGAAAGCAGAAAATATAACTTAAGAACAAGTATATAATATTTAGCACAAATGAGGAGTAACACATAATTATGATAACACTGATTTAAGTAAAAACAGGTGAAAATCAAGGAAGAAATGGATAGAAAATACATTTAGACATGAAAAATTAACAGTCAAGTATTACGAAAAAATGTCAAAATTATTATTACTTCATGATAAAATTGAAACTACAAATACAAAACATTTCATTTCACCTTTTTTTTAAAATAAAAAAACAATTAGCTAGTTAATTCATGACAAACAATTCTGATAATTAAAATATGCAAGATGCTAAAGTGAAATGTAAATCATCAATTTATATATTTGTAAGCATTGCCAGAGAGTGAGATGACAGAAAATTTAATCTAATACTGCAAAATCTGCCAAGGGTGATAGTATAATTTTATATTTAACTACTTTCTTCTGCTAATGTTTTCTTCAATCCAACATCAACCTTGCTATGGACCATGTACTCGAATACTACTGACTTACTTAGGCCTACATATGTTACTGACTTCAGATTCCCTCACCCACCCACCCCCAAAAAATCCTTACAACACCCATTATAGTACAAAAAAATTGTTATTCCTTAGACCAAAAAGGTAGAACCAACAAGCACCTTTTGAGGCTATGCCATCACATATAAACTGAATTAGATGAAAGTAAGAAGCTAAAACTTCAAACATGAAAATTATAATAATATCAACAAAAACAATTTTTCTTGCCTAATCAATGCAGATCAATAAAATGTTTGCATTATGTTAAACAAGAAAAACAAGAAGGAAAGCAGGATTAAACTTTTAGGTACTTAAAAAAAATAAAGAAAAAAATAAGATAACTATTTGTTTCACCTGTTGTGCATTCATCACACATGAAAGCAGAAGGAAGATGGGTTAAACCAAGACATGATTGGTGAAAGCTCTGCAAACACGGGCCTTTACAGATGATAACATCACCCACCTTCTCACAGATTTGGCATACTCTTTCCTGTCGAGCAATGGTGGCAATGGTCTGCTCTCCATCCCCTAGTTCCTGGGTTACTGTATTACCATTGCTTTCAGACTCCTAGCAAAATACAATTTATATTATTTACACAACATCTATCAATGTTTTTAAATATAATGTGATTTGGCTTTTAATTCCCAGTTCAGCTGTGGAACAATTAAAACTTTGTGGAGTATAACTTTTAAGAATTCCAAAGTGTTTGAACCACACAGAAATTTTAAAGGAGCAATTGTATATTGTAGTCCTTTACCTTTCAGTACTTATTCAGTATATATTTAGCTTATTGTCTTTGTTATCTGGGCACGAAATGGGAAACCCTTTATAGAGAAGTATAATGTTATTGGCTATAATACTGGAAAACAGGGAATCTAATGTTGGTAAGTTAACTCTCTTTTCTTTCTTTAGCATTACTTTCATTAACGGTATTGGTTGGAATATTTGATATATCAATTTTTAATATTCTTATTTTTATCATAAGCATTGTTTTACATTGTTATCCACGTGTGTAAAGCTAACCTAGCTAACCAAATCTCATGAGATGTTACTGGGATTTTGGCTGAAAATAGAGAGTAACTAAGTGATGATACAAATTATTCTATCATTTTACGTAACAACGTAAGAACAATCTCTTAAATTAGGTATAATCATTATTTGGCCAGGGCTGTAGATCAAGATATTTGACATGAAGGCAGCCACTGTCATTAATGACAGACATATTTTTTCAAGACCTATAACACTCTGTATTGCTTCAGGTGTTCTAAACTATCACTAAGATAATAAAAGGCAACATTCTTTAACAATAAAGCAAAATATAAAAGTAACACATGTCTGCCATTATTAACTTTTCTTTTAGTAACAAAAGTTTCTGTACAGCTGCAAGCAGCTACCTTGATTTTTCTCAAACTCTAAAGATGAAGAAAATTTGTCACTGATCCTTGAGTTGTGGATACCTATAGTCTGTAACCTTATCTTCCCTATCACTGCCAACATCCATTTTTTTTCCCTGGTTTCTCCTTGAAGGACAGACATATCCTAATATCATTGTTCTTCATTCTAACTCTCATATTCAGTCTAGCGAAACCAAAGAGTCATGTGACAGGAATATTTGGTATCAGGTTCTTGACATAAAGAACCAATTCTTTCAGCCATTTCAAAATATCTGTAAATCTTGTTCATACAAAAATCCATTGTAATCCAAGTCCATTTCTGTAGTCAACAGACATGATCATTATTCATATTCTTAATCAATAGTGTATCCAAAAATCTTATGCAAAAATTATCTTATAAAAGCCAGTCGTCCAAATCATGCAGTATTACTTTATTTTTCTACATATGTTTACTATTATTCATCCAATAAAACACTAATTTCTTGTGTTGTTGTGGGCAGAAATGTTCTTTGTTTTATGGTATTTACAATTTGCCTTAGATGTGGTTATATTTGTCTTAAAGACTGTGTAATGCCTAATTAGGACTTTGTGGCAAGAAAACATCATGGGCAAAACAATGCAATGTAGGAAATGTTCAACTTTTAGTACAGTTAATAATAAATGAGAAAACTAAATCCTGATGTATTTCTTTTGTGTAAAAATATAAAGAAACCTAATGTTTTCTGAGTGTTTGGACCTCTGGTACTTAAAAAATTAAAGTATTAGCTCAAACACTGACAACAGTATTTCATGTTAAAGATCATGACAGTGGTGGATTCCACGAATGTGACTTTTCTACAAAACTTTGACTAAAAGAAGATGAAGATGTAATTGAAATAAACATTTATTTCTATGGTGGTGTGTCTTTATGGTATATACACAAGAGAAAAATTATTGTTGATATTCCTGTAGGGAATAATACTGTCAATCCAAGAAATTGGGTTTTCTCCACATACTCTGGTCCAAAGGAAGCCCATGGGGTGTGACACCCAATGGCAGGGACAAACCTGTGGGAGATTGCATCTTGTCTCATTCAAGGTATACTCTTTACCCACACAGGAAAGAGGAGGCAAATAAGCGAGATTTGTGATGCTTGGATGGGCAGAATTGGTACATGATCATTCAAGTATTTGCTCACAACATGCCAATAGGTGTAGTGAGATTGGGCCAGTCTCATTCAGACTATACCTTGTGTGCTCATCTCCTCTACCATCAGACTTGACAGGCCAAAACTAGCTGTGGGAGAAGGGCACATGAGATAAGTACATATACTCATCTTCTCTACTGTCAGTATCTATGGGCCCCTTCCCAGCTGCGAGAGGAAAGCACTGTATAAATTTGTTTCAGTATGGATACTTATATACACCTCTACTTGACCGTAGTTTCTATGGGCCCCTTGCCAGCTGTGAAAGTAGGATATGTTTGAGTTGTAGTAGAGACTGGTAATAGTGTTCATCTTGACTCTACTGAAGATAGTTGAAAGATATAGGTATTGAGTGGATTGGTATAGTGAGTTGTATCATCAGCCCATATGTAGTTTGTGATGTATCATAGATTTATATGTGGGATGACCTGTACTACACTCTCAGTGTCACCATAGTCCTACTTCTCACCATAATAGGACACCTTGTTCTAGCCCCAGCAGTTAAGTCCCAATCAGTGTGAATTTTTCATGGTTCACCACCCCAGCAGCTATAAACTGGTAATTGCAAGTCTCCTGTACTCCGCCTGATAAAGGGGGAGAATTTGCATAGGAGAGACTCGGGGATTGTGCCTAGATCCACATCAGTCCTTCACTCTGGATAAGTTTTTCCTGGAGAAAAATCAATGGGTGATAGCAGGATTCTTCTTTTAAAAGCCAGCAAGCACATGCCAGAGAACTGGACAGAAACACTGCTCTGGTGCTGGCTTTTTCCATGATAGTCCATGGAATAAGTACAGTCTAGAATGGACAAGAAATGTGATATTGATAGAAATATATATTTATACAATGAAGAAACTTCAAAGGGTCTTTTGGAAAACCCCATGCCACATTGGGCATGTGTAGAGCCAGAGCAAATGGTATGAGCACTTTCCATCATCCTGGCTCGATGCAGATTTTAGGTAACTATACTCTGGGAGGCAACACTAGCCACCCAGTGGGATTCTACTAAATGAAAGAGGGGTCCTGAGAGGAAAATGGTGCACCTGTGAAAGGCAAAAACCATTAGGAGAGAAAACAACCAGAAAGTATAGAGAAGGTGATTGATGTGTGAAGGGAGTCCACATGCCCACCTGGAAAAGGTCATCTAATAGCCAGTGAAGAAATGGAAGAGAAGGGAGAGAAATAAATTGTGAGCATCAACATTCCACAACAAGCATGTCAACAGGAAGGTGACGAGCCCATCCTGAAAAGGAAAAAGGAACGAGGTTCATAGAAAATAGGGGTACCAGGCTAGGGACAGAGGAAGAAGATGGGGACCCTTAAAGTAAGAGGTCCTTGATAAAGCATGCAGAGCTATTCAACAGGAGCCAATCCTGGTCTGGATAGCCCAATAGTACAGAGATGAAAAGAAAGGAGATGTGAGAGAAATATGGTTTACCCTTGAGCAGTTGAAGTCTGAGAAAAAAGGATCAGTCCAGGGAGAGGAAAAGAGAAGTTCAGTGGAAAAAGAGTATGAGAAGCATCAAGAGAATATGAGTCGGAAAAACAGTAAACATAAGAAATAAGAAGGAGGGAACAAGTAAGGAGAGAAAGATGTTAAAAAGGTAGGAAGACAATATATCAAATGAGGCATGTATCATATTGAGCAAAACTTCAAAAAGGTCTCATTCAGGTAAGAAAAACAGAGGAGAATGAAGGAGCAGAGAAGAATGAATAGGACAGGGTAAAAAACATATTAGTACTGGTAAAAAAGAAAAATTATGGGCATGATCACCCAACAACTAAAAAAAGCTGAGACCACGAATACTTCGCTGAACGGGCTGGTAAGAAAGGTGATGCACAGAATTAATGCCTGGAGGAAATAAGTGGCAGAAGGACCAATTACAAAAAAATCTGCCACAGCTGATAGACAAATCCAATAGAATGTGACATGACTAACACCAAAGTTGTGAATAGTTTGATCCCATGGGTGACAGACTGGCAAATTCCATGCATAAGGGTGGAAGGAGGATAACTCTCAGTGAAGAAATGAAGTGAAAGTGCAAACCAAGAAAGAGAGGGAATAATGTAAAAATAAATCAGCTTACAACAAAATTAGCATCTTTGTTAGCATGCAGAAATAAATCAGTTTACAAGAAAATTAGCATCTACACCAATCAATAACAGATAATCAAGTTTACATCAAACAACTTAGATCAAAGTCATCATAATTTTCTTGCTACAAAAAAAATATTGGTTTCAGATAACAGAATCATGGTTAGTCTACATAGATAATTAGCTTTACAACAAAAAGTACAATTACAGTTTTGTTTTCTGTATTTAAATATCAGATTCAGTATGAAACTAACATCAACTTATCTTTATGTAAACATCATTCAGTTGCAGAAATGAAATTAACATCATTATTCCCTCTCTTTCTTGGTTTGCACTCTCTCACTTCCCTTCTTCACTGAGAGTTATCCTACTTCCAAGAAAGAGGGGGAAAGGGAGAGTTCAATTAATGAGTATATCAAGAACAAGGCAGTCAGAGAGGCACCAAAAAGGGGGCCCAAGAAGAATATAGTGTATAAATCTGGGGGTCTAGAAGGATGATGTAAGGGAGTAGGTCTAGAGAAACAGGTAAGACCAGGCTTAACCCGATGACTACCGGTACTAACTTTCTTAGTAGGCAATGCAAGTGTGAGGGCAAAATCATTTGTGAATTGAAAAAATGATAGAGAACTTATCTTTTAATGGATTTCTGATTTTATTTTTTATAAGTAATAGCATAACATTCAATTATTTGTACAAAATTTTATTCTTTAATGAAGTTTAAAGAGGAATTTAATGAAAAAAATTCCTAAAATAAGTTTTAGACTGTAAATAAATGTCCTCTGAGAAGAAATTTTTTTCAAAAATTTTTTTAAGATATTTCCTTTCACCTCAGCACTAGTTCTGCCATCTATGATTGGTATCT